GCTGGCCAGTTCGGTTATTATTTGGGCAATTTTGCATTTAAAAACTCAGGTAATAAAAGTAGGCATTTATCTGTAAGAATTCATCAGTAGGTATCAATGTTTTGAGAATCAATCAATGTTAAAATGTACCAAATTATGTACAATTGGTAAAAAACGATAACCATGTAACATTGAATATTTCCAAAAACCAGCAGTTTTTCTCAGCAGGCTCTCGCATTGTACTAAATTACCCGACTGGACTTAAAATTTGTAACACACTTGCACAACCCAGCAAAATGACGACAAATTTAAGCTTAACTGATTCCAAATTAATGAAAATTCTCTGTTCAATTAATAGTTAAGAAAACGAATTAAACATTAAATGGCTTCAAGCACAACAGATCAATTTGTACTGAAAATATTTCCCAGTCATAGGGAATTAACAAAATAAACCGTTTGTTTTTTGGAAATTGTACATTTAAAAATTGGCAGAAGACAGGGTGTTTTCAAACCAAAATTTTAAAATGTACTAAATTATGTACAATCGACAAAAACCGTACATAAATGTCCAAAAAGGCCAAAAACGCTCAACGAGGAACTGCGCTTGTATTGTACTACATACCACTACAGGACTTTAAAATTTGTAACACATTTGTACAATCAAGTAAAATTTTAATTAAAAAAAAATGTAAGCTTAAATGATTGCAGAAGACACGAAACTCTCCGCTGATTGCACATACGAGAAACCGATGTAAATTTGGAGCTTTTTATTTTACTTCAATTGTACAATCGGCTTTACAGCAAACTTGAAATTGAACAAAGTAGAGCTTGCTTCAGGTTGCGGTTATTTTTTTAATTGTACTAAATTACGTACAATCTACTTCAACCGATAACCCTACAACATTGAAAATATCCAAAAACGACAATGAAAAGGTGCTCTCGTATTGTACTACAGGTCACAACTGAACTCTAACATTGTAACCCATTTGTACACCCACTCCCTGCTCAAATCGTACAAAGGTTAACTGATTCCAAATATCAAAAATTTTCCATTAACTTGCCTGATGAGAGGACAATGCAAATTTAGCGTTTTCATATTTTTTCCCAATTGTACTTAAAAATGTACAAAGAGCAACCGGATGAAAAACGATTTAACGTGGTATCAAAATTGTAATGTTAAATCGCTTCAAGGTTGGTCCACGTTCTGCAATTCTACACATCAGATCAATTTGTACCGAAAAATGTTCCATTCAAACTCAAAGCAAATCATTGTTTTTTGAGAATTGTACAAAATTTAATATTTGCGGAAGACAGGGCTTCAAAATGCGTTAAAATAATGAATATATGACATGTTAAAACATAATTGTTTGTTTGTAGTTGACATAAAATTTAAAATGTACTAAATTATGTACAATCTATAAAAACCGACAATCCCACTACATTCAAAATGTTCAAACACGGCAACGAAAAAAATTGCAGAATGAGAAACTGCTCTCGTATATGTACTAAATGTGACGTCTTTACTTTAACGACTAATTTGTTTTGTAATTTGTAAATTTGTCGAAAACAAATTTACACAAAAGAACACAATGTTTTATTTATTCAACCGATGAAAAACTGATGTAAACTTGGAGTTATTAATTCTCTCAAATTGTACAATCGGCTTTGCTGCATTCTTAAAAATGTACAAACTACAACTGGACGCAAAACGATTTAAGTAATTAAAAAATTGTACTGTTCATTTGCTCCAAATTTTAATAATTTGTACTGAAAAATAGCCGATTCAAAACGAATGGGATGAAATAACTGCAATTGTACAAAGCAGATCGTTTGATTTTTAGAAATTGCATAAATGCGTAAAATGCGTTAAAATAATGAATATATGAGTTAAATAAATTGGGAAAATGTACAATTATTCAAAAATGACAAATGCCCTAAAGGATTCAAAAATGCATAAATTAAATCGCCAATAACTAGTTTTCTGTTAACGTTAACACATTTTTTATGCCCCTTTATCCCGTGGCGTGCTCTACCGGTCTTTTAAGGCAAAATTTTTAAATGTACTAAATTATGTACCATTGACAAAAAACGACAACCCTGAAACATTGAAAACGTTCAATAAAGTTACATAGCCATAACAACTGACTCTGCAACCAGAGTACCGAGAAGACACCAGGCATCAGCAGAATACCAAGAAGACACCAGGCATCAGCAT